CTCAGATCAAGATAATCCCCCACCGACAGCCTAGAGTGACTCCAGATTCCATTGGGACAGCACCAGTCCCACACACACAGGCCACCTCAGAATTAAAGGGTTATGTTGTGCTGACACAAAAGACTGGATCCACACTGGTTTCGTCTCTATCTTCTAGGCCAGCAAACGGAAGAAACGATAACAGGAGCGTGGAAAGGTGCAGACGATAGGGCATGATAGGAATCGACGGTTGTCACGAGCACGGAACACACTGGCGGAGTGGGAGTCAGTCCAGTAGTGGCCGGGTTTCTGTCGCTCCTGACTCACACAGCTAGAGGCTGGGTTCTGCCTGCCTGACACACCACATCTATCATGACAGAGACCAGCCCGCTGTGATGGCTCTGCACAGAAAAGGGGCCACCCCATTGTGACAGGTCCACAGATGTCCCCAGACGTGATGTCAGATGCTACCTTGGAATGATAGCTCTGTCGCTTCTCCCTTAATCCCACACTTTCAAACGCCAGCATCCTGGAGGGCGGGGAAGGTGGAAACACCCTGTATTTATTATGTTCAGTTAGCTTTGGATCAGTGGTTCCAGTAACATGAAATTAAAGTCCTTAGGCACGTGCAGTAAAAAATTCTTAAAACTGCATTAATCTGTTTGACCAAAACAGCCCTTCCTGAGTGGCAGAATGAATCCCTTCTTGATATCACAGTCATTTGCGTGGAGCCATGTTTACATTATCATGTTTGTTTGTCATCAATCACAAAGATGTTTCTCCACGGAAATTCATGAGGGAGGGCTTTGCTGGCTTTTCATGATAGCAGCCATCAAGGCCTACTAGCTAGAAGCACATTTCTGTCTTTAAGAGGCAGCAGTGAGGCGCCAGATCAAAAATCATATGAACTGCATAGGTCACCAACAACTTTGAGTATCTTCTAGTGTTTACTTTCATGTCATAGGCATTGGAGCTATTTTTGTGACTGACGTGCCTGAGAAATTTGTATTTATTAGATGCTTACTGTGGCTAAAGCAGAAGGAAGACAGCAGGCACAGCTCTGTCTCCTAAGATGGGTGTCCGCAAGTCAGGGCATTGAGGCATATAAAAATAAACCTAGCCAATACAAAGGACTCTGACATAGTCAAAGCAATGGTAGACTTCCTATATAGAGTGCAGAAGCTGGGCGCTTGGGAACAATTTCCATAACTTCTGGGGTTCAGGTAGCTGTTGGCCTACACTGTTTTAAAGAACATCTTATTAAATCAGCAGGAATGAAAAAGAACCTCAAACCACAGTCCCCTTCATCTGAGTAGGACACTCAGAGTCACAGCTGCTGGATACAGTGCAAGCAGCTGGTGAGAGACGAAGAAGACAGCCATCGACAAAAAGGCTGGGTTTGCTGGTGTGGTCCACTTAGACGTCTACAGGATGCGAGAGATACAGGAGCAAGGGTGACTAACCCCAGTTGCCACCATTTGAGGATGATGTTCAGACGCAAGTCACTCGCCGCTGTTTCTGGGAAGATTAGACCTGGCAGATGTTGGGTCTGAGCTGTAGACCTGGCAGATGTTGGGTCTGAGCTGACTTACTACTGTGCCCTTCAGAGAGAACTGGCCCTCACCAGTTCACCCTCTCTACCCCTGCCTCACACTATACCTACCTAGCACACTTGATTCCTCTGGTATCAGTTTCCTTGATACCATAGGCTATAGTGGTTGTGAACTCTGATTTATAACAGATAACAACAAAATATCCCACATGTTGGATTAACTTAAATTTTATTTATACCAACTACGAAGAAGTCAACTTCTCATATGTTGAAATAAGGAGCGGCGGGGCTGCGTCCCCAACACCCCGGCCGCTTGGCTAGCTCATGCCCGAAATAACAACACACAAACTGTATTCATTTAAGAACTGCTTGGCCCATGAACTCTAACCGTTACAGGCTAATTCTCGCATATGGACTAGCCCATTTCTAATGATATGTGTAAGCACCCCAAGGTGCGCTTACCGGGAAGATTCTAGCCTCTGTCCATCCTGGGAGAGTTGAGCATGGCATCTCTGCTCCAGCAGAGCTGTCGGGTCTCTCCGGGAGCAGAGCAGAGTCTGACCTCACTTCC